AATTCAGCGGGGGGGGGAAGTTAGCCAGCTATCCAGCCTCCCCCTTCCTCCTCTTCCTCCCTTCCCCTCCTCCAACCCCCAACCTGTGAAGGAAAGGGGGCCGTGGAGCAAAGACCTGCCCAAGGTGGGGCTCCCCTCCCCAAAGTCCCTTGACAAAAGGGACACCCCTCACCCACTGACCGGCCACACTTCCACCTCAGAGGACGGGAGCGCTCCCGGCAGGTGAGTTCGGGGAGGTTGAGGCGCTCCAATGTACACCCCACATGTACACCTGTGCGTGCCTGAAGACTTACGCTCACAATGGCGGCCGAGGAGAGACAGACCTTCCATCGGCTTCTTGCATCGTCCGCCCCTTGGTCCTCATGAGTTGCACCAGCTGTGCTTGGCCTTGCCCACCCATTTCTGTGTTAATAAATTCTGATTATATTGTTGTTGTTTAGTCGTGTCCGACTCTTCGTGACCTCATGGACCAGAGCATGCCAGGCCCTCCTGTCTTCCACTGCCTCCCGGAGTTGGGTCAAATTCCTGTTGGTTGCTTCCATGACACTGTCCAACCATCTCATCCTCTGTCGTCCCCTTCTCCTCTTGCCCTCACACTTTCCCAACATCACTGTATACAATATCCAAACCTCCTGCAAAGACTTTCCGGGAGACACACACAGGCCTTCCCTTCACTCCCCTCCCCGGTTCCTCCTTATGGGGGTCGAACAGGCGCAGAAATAGAGGGCCACGGAGGGAGGGAGGTTCTTCCCTCCAAGGCCCCTCTTTTCAATTCAGGGCCCACAGAGGAAAGGCAAAGCAGAAGGGGTGTGGAGAATCATCATCTCCCCTGTGCCCCCTTCTTCCTCCTCCTCATCCAACTTCTTCCTCTTTCCACCTGCTGAGGCAGCCGGAGCCGAAGAATGTAGAAAAGGAGAGGAAACCTGGTCAGGGACCAAAAGACAAGCAAGAGAGGATGCTTTTACTTCCGACTTGACAGTGGGATGGGATGAAACGCCACAAGGCAGATCTCAGAGGGCAGCCAAATGACCCTCCAGATGCTCTGCACAGCTGGCCCACCTGTTTGCGCCTTCTGAAGAGCTCAGAGTGGCTCATGGGCGTCTCAGAAGCAACGGTTGATTTCAGGGAGAAGGATGATGGACACACACCCCCCAGGCATGGTGCCACATTCTGTCCCCTCCTTGAGATTTCATATCAAGCTTGACGCTGTACCAACCATGCTTGCTGGGGGCAGATGATAGATAGATAGATAGATAGATAGATAGATAGATAGATAGATAGATAGATAGATAGATAGATAGATAGATAGATAGATTAGATAGATAGATAGATAGATAGATAGATAGAAACAGACAGATCTGTAGTTCAAAGAAAGAAAGAAAGAAAGAAAGAAAGAAAGAAAGAAAGAAAGAAAGATAGACTGATAGTCAATGGCCCAAAATACAAATACATAAAATACAAAATATCCAAAAAGCATACACATATATACTTTAAATATACATAATATGCTTTCACAGAGAGAGAGAGCCTAAAATCTTGCTATTACTGCAACTAAAAGCTGGCTAAAAATTACTGAGCCCTTTCCTTCACAGATTTAAGTTGCATCCGCAAAAATTTTTGCTACATCAAACCACATTCTTGTATTTGATCCTGACAGCATGCCTGTGTTTTTGCCCTCATAACGATCAAAGGGGTATAATGTGCCTCCAGACATCCGGGGAGCGACTTCAGATAAAATTCAATAAAAATTTTCCAGCACTCCAGGAGAGAAGGGGAACGCATGCAAACGAGCATGAGTTATTGTTTCAGTTCCACCCAAATCACAAGGGGTACGGTAGACCGAAAAAAAAGTCAGAAAAGTAAAAGTAGCTGGAAAAGTAACTTCTTCAGGCTCAGTAGGAAATGTTATGACACAAGTCCGTGCTGTGATCTGCCAGAGGGGGGCCCGTGCTGCAGTCAAGGCCGACTCCTTGCTGGCGCAACGTTAGGAATGCATCTTCCGGGATTACGGCTTGCCTTTGGGGTGCAGGGTCCGTCTTCACTCATCGGGGGGCCACCCTCTTGTCCACCCAACTGACGTGTGAGATACAAAAGGAAGCAAGTGCTTCCCATGTGCTGGCTGGC